ATGCTATTTTTAATTTCTGCATTCATTCGCTGCCTCCATCGGGAAAGAACTTGAATAATATTTGTTTTATATTGCAAGGAGTACGAATTGCCCATAAATGGCCAACAAACATAAATATTCAGTGAGAAAGAACAGAGCGTAATTTGTTGGAGGGTGGGGGAGTTCCAGCAGCATGCGTGTACCCACTGGAATTTTAATTTTGAAATGCTGCTTCCAAAATGATTAACCGTGGAAACCGAGGAGGGCAAAAAAAGTGTTAAACGGAAGGGAAAAAAGTAGCTCATTTAATTTCCTGACTCTCATTTAGTCATTTCCAACCTAAAGTGGAGGGGGTTTTCTTTGAGTTTAGGGGGGGTGTCGTGGGGTGGAACAGAGGGTGGTGGGGGGAGCGGTTCATTGTCTGTTGACTTTGGATGGCGACTCCACTGTCTCCCGCTTCTAGGATGTTCCACGGGGGGGCCGGGGGGGGGCACTGGTTTTTCGACCCCCACGAGGTTCTTTATTTTCTTTATTTTCTGCCTCGTTTGGTTGTATTTACAGCTGCGGCGGCAGCCTGCTCCTCCTAACTGTGCCCTACGGTGCCGCTCGCTTGACCGTGTGACCGTGCGTCATTGTCTTTTTTTATCACAACTTTCACAATCTTGTGCCCACAATGTAGAAACCGACTGTCATAATCTCATTGTTTTTATTATAATCGTTTTGGAAAGCATGTATTACCCGTTCCGGTATGCTGTGGTGACAGTTATTCCTCAAATGACTAAGTGTTCCTTTGTCCCAGCACTGTTATGTTGTTAGTTCTGCTTTCTTACCATGTGACATAAATGCATACTTATGCACATTGACGCTTCTAATGTGCTGTCATACTACTTCATAGGATGATAGGTTTTCATCGTCATTTTACAGAATTGATTGTCATACGAATGCAAGCATATTCCCTGGCTTTGGAAAGCTTTCATCATACAGACGCACACACACATGCGTGTGTGTGCGTCTGTATGATCGTTCTAACACATTTGTGGGCATGTGAGATGCGGGATGTGTCTGCACACGTCTACATTAATTATAACTTTGCCAATTCATGACAAACGATGACAAATTACGAGATGCACAAATCCTCGCGCTACGCATGATTAGCTCTGGAATCCCATGGTCCCTCGTGGGCCGGATGCCAGCTTCAAACGCGTTGAGTGATATCGATGCTTGTGTGTGAGCGCGTACTTAGTGATGCGTGTTTTACATTGACCTGTGTGCGTGCGCGTGCGTGTACGTGCCCGTGCATGCTTGTACGTGTGTGTGTGCAATCATTGTGTTATGGGAGAGAGTCACGCCACGGTGGTTCGCATATTGCGTTCAGGACCCGGAAACCAGAGTTAAATTCCCAACCATGGCTACCGTCGGCAGCGAGTGATATCTGAACCATTCCTGGACCTTCACCTAGGTCGACTGAATTAAGTTCCTGGTGTGATGTGTGTAAACATCGGCACTGACGAGGGAAAGGTGGCACGGCTTGATCCTGGCTACCGCCGCCCCCAACCCCTCTTGTGTGCTGTGCCATGCCAGCCTCAATAAAGGCTTGGGGGGATTTCTGTTTTTATCATCGTATAATGTAAGTATGTGCTCTTATAAATAATATATGAGCACTGGGCCAACACTCCCACCCTTCCAGCTCCTCCTGCATGAAATAAAAATAACTCCCCATCCCCGCACCTGGCCAATTGTGCCCATTTGGACTACGTCTGTGCTGCAGGGAAGGATACATTACCCGAAAGGACTCCACATTAAAAGCCTTTTTTGTTACTTCCCTTTTTAAACTTTCCCATTCTCCCTTTGGTGCACTTCTTGGCTCCACTTGAAAGTTATTCTTTCCCTTAAGAAGTCTCGTGTCTGAACAAGCCTCTCACTCTCCTCCTTTGCCCTGTTCTGTGTCACTCTGATAGCCGAATGTTCTGCTCGCGAGTGTGTGCGCGATCATACGCTTGGAGGGGTCTCTGACCCTTGCTCCTGTGCCCTCGCTCCTCCTTGATCTTGCTCGCTGCTTCTCTTATGGCCCATGCAAAAGATCCAGCCGTGACCCCCTCGGTTCCCTCAGCTGAAAGCGATAGCCTAAACTTTTCACTTATGACTAATTTAACATCTCCTTTCCTTGAAAATGTATTTTTTCCACTACATCCCTAATGCAGGTAATTGTAGTTATTAAACCAGGTGGATCGGTGATCTGAATACTGAGACTCGACAGGTACCCAGGCAGCACTCCAGAAATCCTGAGTTCAAGCCTAGGATTGCTACTACTTTACATAATTTCCAGCACAGTTGATTGTCTCAGCTATGAATCGGCAATGCTTGCCTGCAAAAGAAACCAATTCCAAATATCTACATTTCCACGTGATCCAATGAATAAATTCATATACATTTTAGAAGCTTACAATGCACACATGGAATAGTGTGTGTGATAAATTAAGTTTTTCGATTTGTATCTGTTGTATTTAATTGATTTAATGCGAAAAATAATTAATTCTGAAATAAAATTTGTGACAATACACAGAATCGAATCGATTGGGGCAGGGTGGGGAGGGACACTTTACAATCCACTATTTAACGTAGCATCTACCCACAGACTGTCACGAAACAATTAACTTAAGAATGAACTTTTGTCATCCTTCCACAACAAAAGCCTGCTTTCTGTACAATAAAATATTCTGGGTTATGAAGACTTTTTCTCCAGGAAAACCCCCCAGGTTCACATTGGAAAGAACCCTTATTTACCCATGTTAGTTGAGAGAACATGTATCAGCTGTGTAGATTGCAGGGGGTTGTGGACTCTCACTTCATTGACTAAAGCAGAAAATTGTACGATTCTGGAGTTATTTCCTGTCCAGTGCAGATGCTACCGTGTTAGATTGGGGATTTCCATGCTGAATGAGCTTTTGCATCTGAGCAATTGTGTTTTTAAAAGATGTTGCTGTACGAATCCCAGTAGAAAAAAAATCTACTTTTTAAAAAGTTAGTGATTTCCAGCCTTGAGCCAGTGGGAGAAATTCCACATTCCTACACTGTTGACTTCCATGCAAAGTAGTACTCTGTTTTAATTGACCCGAGAGGGATGATTGGTTGAATCGCCCATCAACCAGGGTTTGAACTGGCAAACTTCCGATTGCGATCCGCTCGCTCTACTGCTGAGCCACCAGGCGAGTAGTATTTTCTTTAATGAATCATATTTTGCTGGCACTCTTGGGGAATAAATTTACATTAAAACAATATTATGCAGACACACATTCGATTCCATGCAAGCGAGGGCCTCCCCACACAGTGTGGATGGTGGGGATTATCTGACTATACCTCACCACACTCGTAAGTACCGTTCAGTGAAAGGCAGGGAGTATACACGCCGGGGCATAGAAATACAGTTGAACAATACATTTTGCGCTTTGGTTTTTTGGGTAAAGTCACGTAGAAATAATAAAAATAAAATAAAATTATATAATAGCATACGACATTTCGATCGCAACACAAGCGTCATCATCAGGCAGAGGAAACACATAACCGCAGATATATATACAGACCTTAAGTAGGGGGAATTAACACATATACCAGGGGACACAGAGAGACAGAACATCACACTAAATCAAACAGGATTGAGCAGACGGAACATCACACTAAATCAAACAGGATTGAGCAAAATTTGGAAACTATATAAAGCAAATTCTTAGTTTTTTCGGTAAAGTCACGTTGAAGAGAAACAACAAAATAATAAAATATATATAAAACAATAAAAAATTCTCACGACGTTTCGACCGTTTGAGTTATGGTCGAAACGTCGTGAGATTTTTTTATTGTTTTATATATATTTTATTATTTTGTTGTTTCTCTTCAACGTGACTTTACCGAAAAAACTAAGAATATGAATTACTGCAGTCACGAAAGCTTTAAATCAAAATTTATATAAAGCAACACAAACGGTCGGCTAAAACACAATTAATGCATGGTTTGGTTGAATACGCTGTTTCAAAGATTGTTAAATTGTAAGTTAAGTGTGAAATTTAAGATAGTGATAGAATACTTTCCGTAGAGAGACCTTTGGGGGGGAGACACGCACACAGTTAAGGAGCAAAGTAAATCTGTCCCGAGGCTTTAAGAAGGCGAGCGATGTAGCAGGGCCAAGGTCCACAGACAATGGGACACAAATTTGCATGATACAAGTTATCAGGCACACAGTTGTCAGGCACCCAATGCGCAGCATGCGTTAATTGTGTTTTAACCGACCGTTTGTGTTGCTTTATATAGTTTCCAAATTTTGCTAAACCCTGTTTGATTTAGTGTGATGTTCCGTCTCTCTGTGTCCCCTGGTATATCTCTGTTAATTCCCCCTACTTAAGGTCTGTATATATATCTGCGGTTATGTGTTTCCTCTGCCTGATGATGATTGCTTGTGTTGCGATCGAAACGTCGTATGCTATTATATAATTTTATTTTATTATTTCTACGTGACTTTACCGAAAAAACCAAAGAGTAATTCCTGCAGTCACGAAACCGCCTAATCAATACATTTTGCTAAACTGCCACTTGCTGCCTACAACATAAACCTGCAGAAAGCTATAAATTCACGTCATGCATGGTAGTTACTAATCCAAGTACTAACTAGGCTACACTTTCCTTACCTTTCGAGATCTGGCGAGATGGGGCAAATTGTGAGTGGGCATTAAACAGCAGCAGACGGCCTCTTAAAAAGTAACAAAGAAATCTATCATTGGAAGTTAAAACACAATTGAATAGCCGTTTAGTGAACTTTTTAATCTGCGCGAGTGGCCAACAGTGGTTGTCCTATGGATGCACTCGCCCACACCATAGGAATGTGCAATTTCCACTACTGGCTCTGTGCTGTGAACGGGAAATAAGCGCCACCTCAATGCTCCTTGGAGCAAGAAAAAACTTGGACCTTTGCTATCATCGTTCCTGCCGCCCGCCACAAGACTCTACAGCCGATGCTGTTCCTGTGTCCGCAGCCTGTGCTGTGCGTGAGTCCCGTGGATCCTGAGAGGGCGGTGGATGCCGGAGTGGATTCCGGGGAGGAGGCAGCGGCGGTTGAAGTTGGCGGTAGCAGCTGCGGTGGCGGCGGTAACGGCGGCGTTGTAGGCGGCGGTGTCGGAGCATGCAGCGTCGCATCCAGCCCCCCCCCTCGCGCGTCCCTGCTGGAGCAGCTCATCGGTACGCCACACTTTCACCCCCATCACCCCTCTGCCTCCCACATGTGCACAGTGAAACACAACAACAACCGAAATTCACCAAGTGGCGGTGACGTCAGGCTATGTGCACCTTGAGGTCATGTGAAGTGTCGGAGGCTCGCTAGCAGGGTGTCAAAGGGCAGACCCGGGTGCCATGAGTTGATTGACTGAGCAAATACACACAAAAGGTGTGGAACGGTGCATCAATTAATATCCATGCTAAGCTCATGCCACGTAAACTCAATCAATGATTTTATTGTGTATGAAAATAACGTGTAAATGGTATACAAGTGACATGCTAATTGAACATTTACGTGATGGAGGAAACAAAACTGCATACCTGAGATCGAAATAAATTGAGATCATTAATTATTTAACGGAATGGTGACTGAATCATAAAAGTGCCATCGGATCTCTGTGTGAGGGTTGAGAGGGGTGGGGGAGACGCTGTTGCCGTGCCTAATGCATGCGTGCACACCTAACGTGTTAGCACGCGGTGACGTTAATGCATCCTGCTGGGCGCTGCTGTGGTTTGAGCGCTTGACTCGGGAGTCGATACAATTAATAACACTTTGCGGGGAAGTCAAAGGTGATCCTGCTATGGATGGACTGGGCCCCCACCATGACAATGTGCAGTTTCCTATGCTGAAGGGACGTAATGGTATGGCGCATGTGTGCGCATTTGTGTGTGGGGAGTGGTAGTGCAGTGGTTAGTGCACTGGGCTACGAACCCGGAGACTCGAGTTTGATTCCCGCTCACGACCAGCACCAGTGACGATTATCTGAACCAGTTCTGGTCCTCCCCTAGGTCTAGTCAGCCTCAAATGAGTACCTGGTGTGGTGTGTAAACATCACCACTTAGGGAGACAAAGCCGGTCGGGCGTGGTGCTGGCCACCAACCCCCTCGTGTGCCGTTGCCGGCCTTCATAGGAGCTTGTGGGGGGGGGGATCTTTGTCTTGTGGGAAGCAGTCGTACAGTTGTTGGCACACTGTTACAAACCCAGCAGCGCAAGTTCAATTCCCGTCATGGCTAACAGAGGTGATAATTATCTGAACCAGTCCTAGGTGTCCTTTAGGTCCTTGTCTCACCCATACATTAGGATCTGGTATGGTGTGTGAATATCAGCACTGGGGAGACAAATGCGGCAGGTCGTGGTTCTGGCCACCACCACTGCTGTGAGCCATGCCGACCTTCATAGGTGTTCGCCATCAGTCGGTATGGCTACGTGGAGTATCTTTGTCTTGTGTTCACAGCTTCCAACTTGCGCAATCAGTCGTACACCATGGCCACACGCCTGCATCCCTGTCCCTCCCCGGCCCTCTCAGGGGTCATCGCCACGACAACCACAGGTCAGTTCCAAGGTCGGGAGGTCAAAACATTGAGGTCATCGGTAAAGACAGCGGCTTCTCAATATAGATTTCCGGACATGATATGGAGGTCGAAGCGTAATTTAGAATCTCTTGTTAAAAGTCACCATTTTCAAATTGCAGTGGGATGATATGGTATTTCACCTATTCTGTTTGCTGACCTTTAAAGAAAAAAGCCAACAAAACCACGACGGTTTGGTGGTGGTGTGCAATGTATGTGTGTAATGTATACTTATACTGGGTGATCCATATTTAGAAAACCCACTAAAATTATTCTGATGAATTATGGAGAAAGCATTTTGTTTCAAAGCTTCAACATTATCTGTCCGTAATATTAATTAACCTCTACTTTTGATTTAAAGCTTTCGTGACTGCAGTAATTCATATTCTTAGTTCTTTCGGTAAAGTCACGTTGAAGGGAAACAACAAAATAATAAAATATATATAAAACAATAAAAATTCTCACGACATTTCGACCATAACACTAACGGTCGTCTTCAGGTGTGTCGGTCCTACCAGACAGGTGTGTCGGTCCTACCAGACAGTCTCGTCCCTTCACCTGATGAAGGCCGCTTGTGTTGTGGCCAAAACGTCGTGAGAATATTATTGTGTTATTTTATTTTATCAATTTATTATTTTATTCTCATTCTACGTGACTTTACCGAAAGAACCAAAGAAGATGAATCATTGCAGTCACGAAAGCTTTAAATCGAAAAATTAATTAACCTATTGGGAAGAAAGTAAGGAGGCCCAAAATTAGTGGGATATCTAGAAATGTATCACCCTGTGTTTATCTCATGTTGGTATGCAAGCTATATGTGCGTTAAATGTGATTTATGCACGCAAAATAATTATTGTAAAGAGTGCACTGCTGCGTGTATTTTAAGCCAGTCTACTTGTGTAATCTATAAGCACTGTACACCTGCGTAATCTACGCAAGCACTGTACACCTGTGTAATCTACACAAGCACTGTGCACCTGTGTAATCTACACAAGGGCTGTACACCTGCGTAATCTACACAAGTGCTGTGCACCTGTGTAATCTACACACTGTACACCTGTGTAATCTACACACTGTACACCTGTGTAATCTACACACTGTGCACCTGCGTAATCTACACAAGGGCTGTGCACCTGCGTAATCTACACAAGCGCTGTACACCTGTGTAATCTACACAAGCACTGTACACCTGTGTAATCTACACAAGCGCTGTACACCTGCGTAATCTACACAAGCGCTGTACACCTGCGTAATCTACACAAGCACTGTACACCTGTGTAATCTACACAAGTACTGTACACCTGTGTAATCTAGCACTGTACATCTGTGTAATCTACACAAGTACTGTACACCTGCGTAATCTACACAAGCGCTGTACACCTGCGTAATCTACACACTGTACACCTGTGTAATCTACACACTGTACACCTGTGTAATCTACACACTGTGCACCTGTGTAATCTAGCACTGTACACCTGTGTAATCTACACAAGTACTGTACACCTGTGTAATCTACACACTGTACACCTGTGTAATCTACACACTGTACACCTGTGTAATCTACACACTGTGCACCTGCGTAATCTACACAAGTGCTGTACACCTGTGTAATCTAGCACTGTACACCTGCGTAATCTACACAAGTACTGTTCACCTGCGTAAACTACGCAAGCGCTGTGCACCTGTGTAATCTACACACTGTGCACCTGTGTAATCTATAAGCACTGTACACCTGTGTAATCTACACAAGTGCTGTACACCTGCGTAAACTACACAAGCGCTGTACACCTGTGTAATCTACACAAGTGCTGTACACCTGTGTAATCTAGCACTGTACACTTGTGTAATCTACACAAGTACTGTTCACCTGCGTAATCTACACAAGCACTGTGCACCTGTGTAATCTATACAAGCACTGTACATCCGACACAAGGAGGATGGCCGTATTCCCAAGCTGTCATATTCATGCCTGCAAGTCACACGCGCCTGTATTCAATGTGCGCTCACAGACGGTTCACACACATCATTAAGTGGGGACGAGGATGTGTAATGAGCGTGTGCAGGGCGCAAGAACTCCCCATTGAAGCTGCCCGAGAGGGCAGAGGCAGTCTGCATTCTGCGCCGCTCATGCGGCTGCTGCAGTGGGGAAAACGCACGCTTGGGGAAAGGAACAAAGGGGGATAGCGCAGGTAAAGGGGGGGGGGTAGCGCAGGCTGCCAACAGAAAATGCAGGTGACAGCCCTGCTGGGAGATGTTTGCAAGGCATCAGGCGGGCCTTTGAGGGCACGGCAGTAGCGGGTGGGCTGGGGGTGGTTGTTGGTGGGGTGAATGGGTGGGGGCGGGAGGGAAGGGACGTGCAACCATCGGGCGAGATCAACTGCTAAAGCTATGTGCCAACTGGTACCGCCGGTGCCTGGCCTCATTAGCTAATTGGTGGTTAAGGGCATGCGTACAAATCAGCACTTGTTCAGGTGTAATGAGACGCGGGGTCCCTTTGGGAGACTGCGAAAGCTGTTTAAAGTTGAACAGTTCATTGCTGTGTTGCATGAAAAGGATGAACCCCATACCTGCCTTATCTGTTAATATTATAATCATAATTCTCATAACAACTTATGCCTTTTGTCAATGCACTGCTGGGTGAAGGCCTCCCTACACTTAGTCATGGGAATTGTCCCATGACTACGTGTATATATTTATCCTGCCTCAGCAGTTGGCCTGCTGTATTTTTTCACCTGAACACGATTGCTTGTGTTGCGATCGAAACGTCGTGATTTTTTAAAATTATTTTTCTATCTACGTAACTTTACCGAACACACTCTTCAATGCGGGTTGGTGAAGTGGGAAGGATCAGTACAGTTATCTCTGATGGCTGGGAATCGAAAATCAGGATCACCATATTCCTCGTGCAGTAGGCTAACCACTGCACCACCAGTCTGCCTAGTCTTGTGTGTAATTTATTTTACGGTCGGCTAATAATCGCGTAAGCAAATAAAAATTCGCTCAACATGTCAGAACAGCATAAGTTCTTTTTTGAGCTGTTGCAGCGTGCCACACACCAACACGGTCCTGGGGGAGATGTGGCTTGGCAGGTACGGCGGGAGAGCAAAGGGGAGTGTGGGCCGGTGGTAGGGGGTTTTGTGAGGGACGTTCGTGCAATTCCACGTGGACGCTTTGCGTTGTTATTCGGAAAGAGACCCATCGTTCATAGCTGTAGCTCGGCGAGCTTGCATAATTTGTTCACATTCCGTCGTGCGCTCGAAACCAGTGCAGTTTGATTTAAAATGTGTTGCGGTTTCACATTTCCGTTTATTTAAAATCTGGTTTTACATTTTGACCCTGCTTTGAGTTAGTTTTTTGGGGGGTTTTAACCAGCTCTGCATGCGGTGGCTGCTCATTTGCACAGTGGGGTGACAGACGTGGACGTTGTTAGTTTTTTCTGGCTCACGTTCAAGGGGATGAAACTATGAGCAGTGACAAGGGCCCAGTCTGTGTTATGCTGCAGTAGAGCGATATTGTGTTGCTATTGTGGTGCAGGATGTGCACACGTGTTACTTGATGTCATGTAGTAGTGTGTTGACTGTTGCGCTATTGGCAAACGGTGTTGGAATTCTTTTTAAGTTCCAAATGCGTGTGCAAGAATCCGTGGTGTTTGATTCACGTGCACTGCGTGTAATGGGTTCACATGACCCCTGCAGCCGCAAGAGGCTGCTACATTCAGCACAATGCAAAAAATAACAAATTCTTTAAATAAATCATGACATTGCTACAATTCATCAAAACGATGGTATTGGGGGGGGGAGGTGGGGAGGTGAGCTAGTCTCTTGGCAAGGCTAGGGGTGGAAGCAGGGCCACAGTGGTCCGTCGTTGATTCCGATGCCTTGTTACTTGAGGGATATTTGACCATGCTTGCCCAAGTTCGGTCAGCGTGGCTTAGCGAAGCAGGCCCTAGGAATGTTCAAATATCATGCGCCACTGGTAATGGAAGTAACCGGGCTTCGGCTCGTGAGTCAACAAATATATATTTTTATGGCTTATTTAAGTCGCAGTTCAACACAAAACTACGTGAATACATATTATACAGCCATATGATGCCACTGATCAGAGTGCATTGCACTGAACAAACAAACAAAAGTCGGCATCAAATTAATAAAATGACTCCCGCGCCTGGCTTCCCTTGCGTCTGCTGTGCCGCTTTGACCAGCACCGAGCGCCGCCTGCACGCCGGCAGAAGCGGGCGCTGCAGCCGGTACCAGCTGTGCTACCGGGCGCTCCGTGCTGGACGGCCCATCTTGGCCGCGTCCCAGTGTGGGGAGGGAGGCGTCCGTGCTGTTGCCACCGCTGCTGGCGTCCATGCCAGAGCCCTCGGCCCAGGTGACCTCGAGGGACGAGCTGCTGTGCGGGGACTTCTCGCGAGCAGAACGGGCGGCTGGGTGGAGGCGAGCGGAGCTGAAAGATGACGAGGAGGACCCCTCAGAGGAGAGGTGAGCAAGCGATACAAGGCGGAGTTCAGGGATTCCGCTAACGGTTGTGCGTGCGCGCATGTGCGTTTGTCGATCGCGGTGACCCGAGTTAAATTCCCGGCAATTGAGTAATTCTCAGTTTCAGTTAACTGCCTGGCTGCCTTGCAGCTTTCCAGTGGTTCCTCAGCGATTTCGAGATGGAACTTGCATGAACGACGACGCTATATAAATCTAAACATATTGTTGGTAGCTACACTACATTTGTGATTGCGTCCGAGCATCTTGGGTCCCAAACTTAAAATATTCAGCACTTAAAATGTTTCAACAATTCTCCCGCAATGGAAGAAGGCATTGAATAATCCCCCAAACGAAATTCCTTGGTGAATTTAGATTGCTTGTTGTCAGTGTCCCGAGGTTGCGCCGTGCAGTACAGTGGTGAGAGACAGATGCGTGCACACACCGTATCGGCCAGCTCCTGCAACATCCCACGCTGCAGTTCTTCAGTGTCAATGGAACTAAATGGAGCTAAATGGGAAAATCACATTCTTATGCTTCCATTACTCATTATGCCTTGGTGCAATCGAAATGTTACAGCGGTTGGTTAGAGGTATTTGGAAAACTTTTTTTTCCTGCGAGAAAAAATGTATCTTTGTTGAGCAACATCTCCCATGAAACGATTACATTAGAAACCAAACAATTTTGTTCACCTAAACCCGAGACGGCAAAACTATACCCTGCGTGTTCAGAACCTAAATCGGATTGTGATTTTCTAAAGGGCCTTCCACCATAAGGACTGGATGCTAAATGAAGTTTAGATTGAGATTATTTTTTGGCTTTTCCCATACAAACTCACCATTTGCCAAATTCTGGTACTGACCTGGCGACCTCCCCTCCAGACGGCACACCCCTGCACTCGTCCATTAAATGTGCGGAACAGTGGCTTGATTGTGCAATATAAGCCAGTTTAATATGATTAACGACCTGGATGGCCTTAACAAAGTGCAGAGATTACATTTCTCGGGTCAGGGGGCAATGGCTGCCATACGTGCCACGCTGTGAATGCTGCTCTGTCCGCGAGTCCTGTGTTTTGTGTAAAACACAGTTCCGGATCTGAATCCGGCACTTCTAACTGGGGGGACACGCCTCAGGCTCTAATGCTTAAATAAACTATTACTCAACTATTTTGTAATGGAATATCCTGACGCAACATTGAAAGGAACGATGGCAGTCAACTGCATCTGTTTGTTGATTATAGTCGATTGTTAAGCTTGTGATACGTGCATTAAATCGCATGTGTAAGAAAAAAAAAAGTACTTGTTTTATTCCTACACGTTTAAATTATTCACATGACCCGTGCATCAACAAGATAATGTTACTTAAAATCATACCAACGAGACAAACAAGAAACGCAACAATTTTTCTGCACTTGCAAAACTTGTCATATTCGGCTGGGATGAATGAAATAGCATAGGCCCACACGACAACAGCCTTGTCCCGTAATAGTATCTCATGGAAAACAGACGTGTTCTTTTGCCAGATGATTGGGATTCCTGCGTCAATCTAGTTTCGGCAATCGTTTGTGCACGCAGGAGGGTGGGTATGTGGGCGGGCAGGCGGGTGGGTGGGCTAGTGGGTGGGCAGGCAGGGGCAAGCAAGGGCAGGCTACACCGCTTAATCTTTCACGCGCTCAGCGCGTGCGCGCTATGCCGTGGAAGTTGGGACACTTCAGCGGAAGCTAACTGTTTTGTTTACGTTGTCGTCTCCACTGACAAATTGCTCACCAATATCAAAAACAAGTAGCTGCCGCTTGGCTGCCCCGTGTTCAGTGAGTCACATCAGCACATGGGCCCCTAATGAAGACCGCCGGGAAATGAAACAAGAATGAGACGAGAATTCGTCAAATGGTAGTGGAGCTCAACCGTGGTCCCCACAATATTGAGCCCACACGCACAGTAAAAAGCGACTTGGCCCAGATTTTCAGATTGCACGCATTGGCCGTGTGCACACGGTGGTCAGATGAATGGTCTATTTGTTTTACCGTGCTTTTTTGTACTGGGAAAAGTATAAGAGTTGTCACTGCCTAATGGGAACATCTGGGCATGATCTATGTATTGCCACATGTGGACTTAAAATGCATGAAACAATTGCCTTCTGCTCAACAACATGAACCGTTTTTCGTTCATCATGCTTAGGCACCTGCAGACCTTATAGGTCAGAATGTATATATCAACATGTCAACAGAGCATGTAATAAAACCCGTTGTCCTGTTTTCAGTCGAGTGGGATGAGATTGGTCAGAATGACAGAGTGGACTGTGTGTGGCCTACAAGACCCCAGTTTGCTATGACAAATACAGGCTGCTCAAAATTGCCCTTGTGTAATTATCACTTCACGTAGGGGGTCAGACTTTTTCTCAGAGCTGCCATTCGCTTCACAATGCAATGAATTGTCAAAATTCAGAGGATGGGATTAGATTCATTCAGTGATTCTTGTTTTGAAATTACAGTGAATGTGGCGGCCTCTAGTGGCTGGAGGGGGTCACGTGAGCTCATTGCATTTAACATATGACATGCACTCCTATGCACATTATTCGATGTGTGTATTGTCTGCTTAAGGATTGCAAATAATGGATGAATTCATGCATTGTTACACCCCTACTAGCTTTACATGTATCCCACTTGGAGTGCTACCATTATACCGTGTCATTATCAGAAATTGTACGATCCCCGACCCATCCGATCTGTCATTTCAGAAGACCGGCTTAACATTGCTTCAATTGGAATTGATCGGAGTCCAAAATCGAATTGTAACAAAATTGTTGCATTGGATTATGTCTGATCTATTTATTTTCATTAGCTTTCATGTAACATTTACACACCATCTGCATAGATCATAAATGTTCAAATTGATTCTCACACACTTGATTCTATGCATGCATCGTCTGATGAATCATTTATAGGTAAGATGAATCAGTGCAAGTCGTTTGCCGAGTGAGCATCGTGGGAATTGCACGGAATGACCGTGTGTGTACTGCGGTCTCATACTCCACTGTGCAGCAGCACCAAGATAATTGCTTTTCTTCGTTGGTTTGATTATGATTAACGAGCGCCTATCCTAGTAAACGGACACTCAAAATGTCACAGCTTGAATCATCATGAGTGACACTTAAGTTACTCCATCGTTCGTCACCAGAATATTTGAACACTTTCAAGTAACTTTTTTCCTCGACAGTTGCAGAGTTGAAAACGTCTCGTCTATGCGCATCCCGAACTTAACCAAGTTCAAAGAAGGGGTCAAAGGCAGAGTGATTGTGACTGTCGCGAAGGGGAAAGATGTAGAAAGAGAGAGGAAGAAACCAGGCCGGGTATAGGGGATTGGGGAATCTGGGGCCAGAGGTCGCCTTGTGGGGTTCCCCGCTGAGTCCGGTGCTGGTGTAGACAGCAGGGAAACCCATTTAATTCCTTTGTCATAAGGGCTCATGCCGACCAAACTGCGCCACGAGGTGGGGAGGATGGCCATCTTCGGCGGGAGACGCTAGGAAGCTATTGGTCTCGGCCACACAAGGTCCTTTGGCGAAGTCCGAGAGGAAACATACAATTTACACAGTATGAGCTCCTTTTCCTTCCTGAGAGTCGACGGTGGGAAATGCTCTGACGTCTGTTGTTAATTTGTGACTGGAGATGAGGCAGATTCATTGAATGTGGCATTCAGCTCCTGCCGGGGTGCAACATCACCCCAGCTGTGCAGCGAGTTTGCAGTTCGGAGCCTTGTGATTTTTTAAAAAGTTTTCTTCCCAGTGGAAATGTTCTCACTTTAAGTGCATTTTATTCCAAACTACAATTATAAGCAATGAGTCTGTCTCATTGCATGCATATAAACAAATGGAATAGAAACAATATGTTGGTCCATCAGCCTAGTTTTGAGCTTTCCAGCCCAATATTTCCCATAACTTATTTTGTCTATTCAATACATTCATCAATAACACTGCTTTAAAAAGAAAACAATATAGCACAGAGATATTTTGTTTGTTGGTGAATTTCTTACCCACAGTACACTACAGCAGTACACAGTGAGTTCTCCTCCATATAAATGGATCCACTGCGTTTCGAGGGCAGAACAGGGCCCGGCTGGACAGCATGTCCTCTGCCACATTTGAGGGTATGCGGTTCACTGAAACAAAAGTGCCCATGTTTATTGGCACAATTAATGGACGTCACAAAATCTTGTCACACATGCTCTCAGCCGTCCACTTCGTCCGTCTATGGATTTTGTTGTACAGCATTACTTGAAGTGCAAATGTAAAGGGAAATGTTTGGTTTTACCTCTGTCGGATTGAATGCCTCAAGATGCAGTAAAGTCAGTAATGTGTTTGATGAGCAGCCAGGATCAAGTGACAGCTTTGTTGTTACTCGAATAGGACGTTTTATGGGCTTCCTTTATAGCACGTTTTATTGACTTGAAATAACGCACACATTGCAGAGTGTTTGCTCGTGATTAATTTTGCATCAGTTCCTCTCGTTGTTTATACTATTTATTGATAGATTTTTCATTATTTTTAAGTAATATGAGTCCATAACGAGTGATTACCTTTATAGATATGTGATGTATATATGTAGTATCTATAAATGAATTGTTATGATATAATTCATGGTTGTGATTTCATTTGAGAATCAATTACATTTTTGTTAACAAAATTACTGTCATTTGTATTGTTTCCTATTCGCTTTCTTATTTCCCCCATTAGCCACCACGAAGCATTTGCAAATCGTTAGCATGAATGTTTGTAACCGATTTTTACATGTGCAATTCAAGTAACAGATGCTTGTATGATGAGCAGAAGAGTTTAGATGAATCATTGAATCTAATTATCGAATTGTTGCATGCTGAATCATGCTGGTGGAGGTAGCAAATGCACCTTTGGATTTGGTAAAGATACTGAAATATTTTAATGGTCATAATCTCATCATCTGTTTGTCTTCCGCTCCCTACCACCCTAACGCTGCATCATTCCTACTCGTACTCCTCGTAACCCTCTCTCCCCATCACCGCCGCTGCCCCCCAACATTTCTCCGAAACCTCTGAAACCCCACCCCGCACCTGCCCCCACCCCCTCCTCCTGCAGCAGCCCCCAGAGTGTGGCGTTTGAACGCGAGGGCTTCGGGCGGCAGAGCATGTCCGAGCGTCGGAGCAAGCGCTTCACGGATGCCTCGCGCCTGCAGGCTCTCAAGTCTCGCAAATCCAAGAGCATGGACCTTGGTACTGGCACAGGGCGGGAGAATTGCCGGGAACAGTGGCGCGGGGGAGGAGAACAGAAGTAGTAGCAGCACGGGGTGCAATAGGGATGTAATGAAGCATCGCCACTGCCACTGCCGCACCTGCGTGGGAACTTGCAGAGTGGTGGTGGGGTAGTACCTTGGTAGCACCGGGTTAGGTGGGGGGGTAGCAGGGCTGGAGATGAGAAATCATGAGTGAGGTTTTTGGGAGGATGAGGTCGTCCAGTGGGGTGGGCCATTGTAAAAAGGACAGCAATCGGGGAGGAATGAGAACAACTGGTAAGGCGTGTGTGTCACAGTTTATGTCTGTGTCCCCCTCTGTTAGGCTTTCGAGCAATGTACATTTGCCACATAATTGAACGCTCATCCTTCCGAGCAAGTTCTGTAATGATGACCAATGATCAGGCTTTGGGCTGTCCTTGGCTCGACCTCTTTGCTTATGATTCTACAGCCTATCAGTAAATACTGCAGGCACTCTGCTAGTGGACGGGCATGCCTTTACCCGTACCATTGTCTGTGCTGGAAGAGATCTGGTATCCGAACCCAGTGATGTATTTTCCCCCTCCAATTCAGTTTATGCCGCACCTAGTTCAAATTTTGAATGCAGACATCAAACCCCATAGGTCGTGTGGCAGCACTGACCAGCAATTGCATGTCACCACACACCTCTGCATCCACTGGTGCCCATTGCCTGTGACTGCATGCAGTGACTGCTGCAGCTACTAACCCACTTTGCCTACTGGATGGTCCGTCCTCTTTGTGTGCGTGCTTGTGTACGTTTCCCTGCGTGCGCGGCTGCGTCACTGCGCGAGTGTGCGTGCGCGTGAGCCTGCATGTGCTGCTGCTCTTTTTGTGTGCGTGCTTGGGTACCTATGTGCGTGTGTGCATGCGTGCTCGTGTGCCAGCGCTACCGCTGATGGGCGGTCCCTCGGAGGAGGCGCCGTTGCACACAGGTAAGCTGCTCACCTCGTCCAGCTCTTAATTACCCCCTCGGCGACTAGAGTCCCATTACTTAGGGGCCTACCCATTGGCTTGATCATGCCTCACTGGTACCTTGATTAATGAGCTCTCTGGGGAGTGGGGGGGTGCAGGTGAGGGGGCGGGGGGGGGCAGCTTCATCCCTACAGCCGCGTGCGTGTGCCACTCACGTCGCGTTTTAAAGAATTGTCGAGCAAATCGTGGTGGACCTTGTTATTATTTATCATTATTATTATTAAGGAATATACCTGTGCTGTCAGTGACAGCATACCTGTTCCACGCATCAGTGGCTGTGCAATGATGTGGCCTATAAAGTACCGTGCTCCTAAAGTTGTGCAAGCGGGCATGATAATGAAAATATTCCACCGAGCTCCCTTGGTCTGCATCGCCAGGCATTTGATTTGGCAACACCGAGCGAGCACGATTACTTGCTGTCGTTTGTCACGTGGAGCTGCTGTTTAGTCCACATTTACATTGTTAAAATTATTAATAGCATGTTGTAGATGTCTCATCAGACGTAACACAATGGACTCTTGATAACTTGATACTAAATGAAGCGTTATTGGGGCGTATTGTGAACAGCAGCAGGCTCGTCTGCGTTGTGTTTTCCTTGAGAGTTGTTGCACGATTAAGATGATGAACTTAGACGATGTTTTTTTTCTTTCCTGTTCTTTTTCTTTCAGATTTTGTGCTGCTTTACTGTGTTGTGGGGAAAAGTACAGTACCCGCTCTATTTCTTAAACCTCTTTCCTCGTTGTTGTGTAACACCACCATGTAGCCACCATCCCCTCTCCCCATGACCTGCCCTCACCCCCGACCCCCCCTCCACCTACCTCACTAGCCACTGTCTCGACCTGCGGCCATTCCGCTTCATGCTTGAGTGACCTTCATTCACGGCCGTCCGCTCTCCCCCCCCCATCCCCTACCCAAACCTGTATCCCGCCCATCTGCTGGTCTTCACTTTGCTCTGCATGGTGACTGCTTCTGCTTGGTGCCCACGATAATTGTGTTTGTTGCTTTGCAATAATAATAATACGCCAAAGCATGCGGAAACTTTTATCAAATTTGACTCAAAGAATAAAACAAAATGGAAGTCTCTTGGTTCAGCCCATTGTGTGTCTTGATGAATACTTGTTAAGTCGAATTCTCAAGATGACGCTGATTTATAATTAATCTCACCGCAAACTTTTTCTCAAAATTCCATATAAAGGGACACGGGGTTTCTGAATTCTACTTCACTCTTTAAACTTCCACCCCAAGTAATATAACTATTGAGTCACATGGACTAACAATGTGTCGGCCGACGTAGCTGTCGAGTGTACAAGCGGTGCAACTCTGCACTGGGGTCCCACAGGCCGGAGGTGCCCCGGGAGCCGGGCTATGAAGAGGGGGGAAAAATTGGATGGGGGGGCCCCAAATTAATTCCTTTAATCAGGGCCCATGGCAATACCGCGCAACTGATGCAAACTGTTAGAAGGCACATTTGGTAGCACCGAATCGAAGTTAGGATTAGACAAAGGTTTTAGATTTTCGAAGTACAAAAATTAGTCTCACCGCAAGTACCATTTACACAGAGTAATTATGAACGTATACTAGTTGTTTTTGTTACACCCCCCTTTGCTCGGTGCCGTGTGTGCTGTTGTTGCCTGTGGTATGGTTCATCAGGGGGAAGTCTGTCACTGATTGTGTCGCGTCACAATGTCTCGTATCACGTGGGGATGGATATGCGCGGTCGTGTGTGCTATATTGGATAAAACTCTTGTGCCAGCACTACTTATATATGCATGCACGTGTGTGTGCCTTTGTAGTGTGTGTGAAATGGTGGTTTATTGCTTAGCACATTGGCCTTAGGTTTGATTCCCAGCCATAACTAACATCTGTTGTAAGTGAAATCCGAACCTCTCCTGGGCCGACTTAAATGAGTACCGAGTGCAATGTGTGAGATCGGGACTGTAGTGCTAGCCATACCCCCACCCACTGTTGCACTGTCCAGGTCTTAATAGCTGCTCGTTTAAGAGCACTTACTCCAACAACGTGTTTGGCTTTAGAGGGATCTTTTTCTTTTGTGATTCGTGCAATGTTCTACAATGCAAAACATCACGTTTACATACCTACCCCCAGTGCAATGCTGTGTGGACATCAGTAAAGGAATAGCAGGAGAGTTTGTGGGTGTTGTTTTTTTGTTTTAATAGGCGCTCGCTTATGGATTTTGTCCCAGCCACTCTACTCAAGTGTACGGAAAGACATTTAGCAATGTGCATGCCTTGTATATGCACAAGGAAACTTCCCCATGAAGATTTGAAATTGCACACATTCGTGTGCGTGCATGCGTTGTAGGTGCCTGAACACCCACACTGCTGCTGTTCTGTACAGGCTGGAATGTTGAGGAGTCCATGGCAAGGGTGCCTCGTCTCATGTAGTGGGGCTCATTCCAATCGCACCCCAAGAATACTGCAATTCTTCTGATAGATACAGGACGAGAAAATTTCTCTGCATGTCGTCATCTTGTCGGATCTTGGAAACTAAACAGGCTTTTGAGCCTGGTTAGTACTTATATGGGAGGCTGCTTGGGAATACGAGATGTTGTAGGTTTGGACCGAGAGGTGTTGAGATTTCAGCAAACTAAATACGTGAAGCTGTACAAGTGTGTCCCCCCCCCCTTCCCTCATATGTGTAGGGTTGTCCAGGTACTCTAGTTTCTGCCTCATAAACATTCCTTAATGGAATTGCAGAACCCTCCTCAAAGGGGAGTCTTGCGGCTCTGTGAAGCTTTTCTGGATATAGTAAATGGCGTTACTATTATTAATCTTCCTATTCTTAGATAAACACCATTCCAAAGCCAAACTAATGTATTTCAACAAGTTGAAATAAAATGCATTATCCGTTACCAAATGTATTCGAACCCAAGCTTGTGCCTTTCAAATGTAAAAGTGCAATGTTTTTTGTTAGCATTTATTCAGGACTAGCGGGAAGTACCCGGCGTTGCCTGGGTCTTAAAAATATTTCAAAACTACTCTTAAAAATCTAACAGCAGTACATGTACTGACTGTGGTGGTACCTGCTATGATTACAGCAGTGCATACTTGACTGCGGTGGTACCTGCTATGATTACAGCAGTGCATACCGACTGTGGTGGTACCTGCTATCGCTACAGTAGTACATGCTGACCCTATAGCAGTATTTATGGACTCTATAGCACAAAGTACTCACCTGACAGAGTGGCGTGGTGAGGCCTAGTCCCGTGCAGAGCCTCCGGCCTCGCCTAGATTGTCCAGCCTGCCGAGGTGGCACCTTGGCAGGCTGGGGCTGGGCTGCTACCCCTGACCCCCCCCCCCACCCAGGCACGATGTCCCCGGCCGCTCTGCAGTAATATCTATGGCCAATAGTGGTAGCATCTACCGACTGTATATATGTTATAACTGCACGCATCGGGGTGGGGGACATAAGACAGTGAAGAATTTACGTGAGCGTTTAGTGTATTTTTATAGGATTTTTAACGCGAAAGAAAATGCCCCACTTACACCCACCAACGGCGGGCGACTTGGCATGGGCCGTCCTCCCCACCAAAGCCGCGTGAGTTGGTATGGTCGTGCACGCGTCATAAATAAATAAATAAGAACGCGCACAGACATCGCACTAAATCGCTAATTAAACTCATTGAAAGTTGACGGATGTGAAAAAGGAACAGCGCTTTCTCACGGCGGGGCTTACGGCGTGGTACCTGGCTATTTTTTTTACGTAAACCCCACCGGTTGGAGAGCCAAGCGCGCGACCACACACAAACCCCGCCACAAACCCACACACAACTTTAGACTTTTTTAAAAAAATATAGATTTACATATGTATACTCACTTGCACAAACAATTGCAGTGTAAAAATGAAAGCACAGTACACAGCAAAAAAGACAAATCCCCCTACACGAACACCCAAGCGCACAAAACAGATCCACCATCTCGCCAAGTTCTGTTAGCAGCAAGCACGCACCTATGCAGGCCAGCACGGCACACGAAGGTGTGGTGTGACAGGCACCATCTACACATTCGCCACTGTTATTGGTCGTGAGCGGAATTCAAACTCTGTTCACCAGGTTTGTAGCGCAGTGCAATGCTGGCCACTGCCCAACCGCTCCGTATTGTACACCACACGAACACGTGTGTTGTACACTACACGCACACACGTGTGTTGTACACTACACGCACACACGTGTGTTGTACACTACACGCGCACACGTGTGTTGTACACTACACGCGCACACGTGTGTTGTACACCACACGCACACGTGTGTTGTACACTACACGCACACACGTGTGTTGTACACCACACGCGCACACGTGTGTTGTACACTACACGCGCACACGTGTGTTGTACACTACACGCGCACACGTGTGTTATACACTACACGCGCACACGTGTGTTGTACACCACACGCGCACACGTGTGTTGTACACTACACGCGCACACGTGTGTTGTACACCACACGCGCACACGTGTGTTGTACACCACACGCACACACGTGTGTTGTAAACTACACGCGCACACGTGTGTTGTACACTACACGCACACACGTGTGTTGTACACTACACGCACACACTGTGTTGTACACTACACGCACACACGTGTGTTGTACACTACACGAACACACGTGTGTTGTACACCACACGCACACACGTGTGTTGTACACTACACGCACACACGTGTGTTGTACACTACACGCACGCACGTGTGTTGTACACTACACGCACACACTGTGTTGTACACTACACGCACACACGTGTGTTGTACACCACACGCGCACACGTGTGTTGTACACTACACGCGCACACGTGTGTTGTACACTACACGCGCACACGTGTGTTGTACACCACACGCACACACGTGTGTTGTACACCACACGCGCACACGTGTGTTGTACACCACACGCACACACGTGTGTTGTACACTACACGCGCACACGTGTGCGTGTAGTGTACAACGCCCGCATGCCCCTATGCATGCTCGTGCACGCACACATGCGTTACCGGGGGCAGGGCCCAAGGCAAGCTTGTTGTGGATGTTGCCACGTGTGGGACTTTTGTGCGAACCCCAAGAGGGATGGTGGTGGGGGGGGACATATGGGCATGGCTGGGCAAGGTGAACAGACAGTGGAGTGGTGATGATGATGTTGACGCCTGTGCACAGCTGTGTGCTGTGATCGTTGAAAGTGAAATCGTGATTATAAATGTAAGGAATGCACTATCAGAGTAATGGGTAAAGAGCTTGAGTTGGCATTTGGTTGGCTAGGTGCGGTTCATTTTAAGGTAGAGTTTGGGTTTAGGCCAGTTAGGTCAACGATATTGGTCTACTTTGCAAGAGATAGTTTTAGGATTTGGTTGGCTGATTGAGTGATGGTTCGGGATAGGGCCTGGTTAGCTAGTAAGATTCTAGTAAGGGATAAGGTCTGGTAAGCTAATGCGGTTAATGTTAGGGTTAGAGATACTTTTAGTCTCTGGTTGGCTAGAGTGCTCAGCCCCTTCAAAATCCTCCCCTCACCGAATGCTTTGTCTTCCCTGGCACAGCCAATGAGCATAATGCACCTGCATGTATTGTGAATGATAATGTTTTTTCTATCTAGATTTGAAGTTTTCGTGACTGCAGGGATCAATACTCTTTGGTTCTTTCGGTAAAGTCACGTAGGTATAAAATAAATTAAATCACGACGTTTCGATTGCAACACAAACAATCATCATCAGGTGGGAAAACCAGAGCAAGAACATTTTTTGCTGAAGTGGGAGAGGGATGCCGTGGTAAGACGTTATATATAGGTAAGAGAGGGGGGAGGGGCAAGGGAGGGGGTAGGGGAGCGTTGCGTTGACGCTAGGAGAGGGAGCGTGAAGCTGGACGGAGGGAAGTGGGCGGGGCTGGAAGTGGGAGGAGTCTGAGAGAGCTGGGGATGCACGGGGGGGGGGGAGCAACAACAAAGCAGCAACAATGAAGCAAACAATGCCAATGCAGCAGCAATGCCAAACGCTGGGGATTAAATTAACTCGGCAACATAGACTAGTGCCTGGCAAATATGAAGGAACAACCATGAAGTATTTAAGGTTTTGCTTGGTTAGTAACTTCCTTCCAATGATTGCTTAATTTGTATCCATTTTCTCGATTGATGTCTATGTTTATATATCTGGAAGGTTTCATGAACAAACCTTTGATAGTAGCCCGAAGGTTTTCAGAGCATCTTGGTCTCATAAAAACAATATCATGGGAACCCACAGCGTTATAGCAATGGTCAGCGACGGCGGAGGTATTAGTCATGCCGTGTTTCAGATCTGACTTGTGCTCGCGAACACGGTCCGAGACATGTCGTTTCGTTTGCCCAATGTAACAATCACCACAGGTGCAACTTAGTTTGTAGACTCCAGGATATTGCATGTCAGGAATGACATCCTTCACAGATGGGATTAGATCACAGATTTTGTGTACTGAATCAGACCTGGATCTTGTGTTTGTTTAAGATTTTGAAAATCTTTTTGGTAACGCCTGCTATGTATGGTAACATGATGGCGTCTCAGGGGCTTGTTTCTCCATGGTTGGAGAAAGAGCTTTGCGGATAATGCGGTCCGAATATCCATTCAGCTTAAGGGCCTGGTGTACGTGTTCTAGTTCACTGGCTAGGTGGTGTTGGTCAGAAATGCAGTGGGCCCTATGGTGTAGTGTTTTGATGAGGGAGTTCTGTGCCGGATGGTGGTGGGAATCAGGTTTCAGATAGGAATCTGTGTCGGTGGCTTTCCTGTAGACAGAGTGTCCCAAAGAGCCATCAGGTCTCTTCTCAAACAAAACATCCAGGAATGGTAGCTTACCATCCTTCTCCACTTCCATGGGGAATTTGATGGATCGGTGTATGGAATTAATGTGGTTGAGAAATTGGATCAATGCTGGCAGGCCATGTGGCCAAATGACGAAAGTGTCATCCACATGTCTCTTCCACATGGAAGGAAAGTACCATTCCAGGTGAAGTAAGTGTTGGTAAGGCAGTGCCTAACCAAAGTAGGAACATCAGGGTTCAGTCCATGTTGGACTAAATCTTAAATTATTGCTATGGTGTCAGGCACAGGAACCGTGGTGAACAGAGAAACCACATCAAAGCTGAAGAGAAAATCATCTGGGGACAGTGAAATGCCCTTGATTAGAGATACTAAGTGAGCTGAGTTATGTACTGCTGAGGTAGTCTTGCCAATGAATGGAAGCAAGGTATCAGACAGAAAACGGGCCAGCTTGTAGGTAGGTGAGTTGATAGTGGAAACGATGGGCCGAAGTGGAGTGCCTTCTTTATGGATCTTCGGGAGACCATGGAATCTCGGTGGTCTAGCAGCAGAAGGTTTTAAATCAAATTAATATGAAAGGAAATTTGCCAACTTGGTTATAGTAATGGATGTAAAATTTTAAAGGAACATTGAAATAATGTGTCATTAGTTAATTAATTCTGACAATATTTAAGCCCCCCCCAGTGAAGAATATTTTCACAGGGCTTCTAACTCTGCAATGTTTGGTAGCTGTACCAAACAATACGACTTGGCACCGCAGCCCAACTGTTTTGTATGAATTTGGTCACTACTGTAAGGAACCTGTTGGGCTTTTAACGCATGTTTTCCCATTGTTTCTGCACAGCTTGCACAAATATAACTTGAACAAAGAGAACCGGTGGTGTAACTCCTGGTGTCAAGGCAGTGTTTAAGCAAATATTTAATCAAAGTTTCTGTTTAATGTAGTTAGAATTGTGATTTTAGGTGTTGAGTCTTGTGTCAAAGACAAAGTAACAAAGCATTTAATTGCTTTTTCCATTTTCCAATTAAGCTCTCGGCACCGTGTCATTAAAATATATTAATTTCGTTTGGAACTCTTACAGATAACGGTGGACTACCCCGTGTCAGAGAAACCATTCCAGAACATGACATCATGGAACTATTCCTGAAGTAATTTCAATAGACCTATTTATGTGTACTTGGGGTACAGCTATTATATTTCCTGCTAGAAATATTCATCTCATGTCAATCAAATAAAAAGCTAGAATTTAAGAAAATTAAGTGGAAAATCCTGATACATATTTCAGTTATTGGTGACCAATCTGATACCATCAACTCTACTACGCGAGTTTCATCATTGTCAGCTGAAACCTGGATTCAAACCCAAGACTAAGTAGCACTGGCTCAGTCTCATGATCCCCGTGCCTCCCGGCCATCTCGTTCTATGTTATTTGTATATTTGTTCCATTATGTTTTATTGATGGAGATTTTACATGGTGGAGGGGTGGAGGCGGGGGAGTAATAGATTTTCTTGTTCAAATCATTAACAGTTTAAGGATTGTTCAATACCGCTGTGCTCAGTGACATCAAAGGCACCACAATTACCACATTTTTAATAAATGTAAATCCATTTAGTTATAACCAGTTTAGATTCATATTAGTGGGGTTTTTGAGAAAAGATGCAAAAAATCTGCAACCGAGTGGCATCCACAGTGGTCACGTGCAAATTATATACCCAATGCCATAATATATGCCAATGGTGAGCAATTTTGCCTTGCAGGACACGTGCCACATCTCCCAGAAGCACGACCTCAGGGGTTATTAAGTGACCATGATACTTAATGTAACATGTAACATTGTACTAATATACACTGTATAGAGAATTTTACACTGCATGGTACCACTACTATGTAAGGATTTCCCCATATCTTGTCAGCAGAAGCTAAGCAGAGTTGAACCTGCAGAGTGCCTGGATAGGTGACCACGATGCAATAACTCAGGTGCTGTAGGCTGCAAAATCAATTGTTGCACCATACTATTTTTCAATGCCTATGCTCCTTGTCTCCCCCAACCCACGTTGGTCAGTGTGGTGAAACATGATCAAATAACCCTCAGGACCCACACAGAGTAGGGGGGCCCTCATCCAGCAGGAGATGACAAACGGTTATACATGTGTACATTCTGATATATAAACTAGTACATGTCACCTTTCGATAGGAGTCTTCAAATTTATTGTTATTGTCCGAGGCTCAGAGAGCCAGTTTATAAAGCGGCATAGCAGCAGATTCTTTGATCATCCGGGGGTCAGGCTTTTCTGTCATGGAAGGGTGACCCTGCATCTTACCGAAACTCCGAAGTGATCAAGCGAGATGGCCCCGAGGCATCCCATTTCCCCATCCCTCTCCGCTTCTGTTATCACATTCTATTGGAACTTCCATTGCCCGTACCCGATTGATATTGACTCTTGCGGTAGGTGAAGCGTTGTTTCCTGTGACGCTATTGATCCCCGCGCCCTCAACCTCGCCCCACTGCCCACATGTTAGTGTGCTCGCACACACTCCATGGATGACTGCTTCCTCCTAGCTGGTCCTGCAATTTGACATAATCAATTTACAAGCCTCACTGTTTTCTCAAGTTATCACCCTCATCTAAATTACTCCGGATGCCAAAGTGCCCGAGACACCAGCACAAACAGTCTCCGGAATGCATCGTTGGCATAGGATGGGGAGCCCTGCTCCCTCCTTCTCCTAACCCCACATGGCTGCTCCTGTGTCTGGGTCCCATCAGCCCCATTCCCCTGCCACCACCCATAGTCCCATTCCCCTGCTACCACCCATAGCCCCATAGCCTTTCTGAAAATGGCCACTGCCCTCGGCTACCTTCGCCTGCAAAGCTGTTCCTGCAGAGAATGGGGTGAATGGGCAACGTCTGCAGTATTTGGGCCTGGCACCAGGCCTGTTGAGTAAAATTTGGGGTCCCCGATAAATAATGTTGGCTGGGGGTCCCCATCTCTTCCTTTGAGGCATTATATTTACTTATTTGGAGGCGTTATATTTACTCACCAAATTTTCATGTAATAAAAAATCCCCCAGCTCAGAATAATTATAACCCTCCCCCCCTCTCTTCAGGCCTTTCCTAGCACGATCAGCATTGGGTTGGTTTCTGGGTTGTGGGGGGGGGGCATAAGTTTCATGATGTATGAATAATAATATTTTCATTTCATCTCCGAGAGGCGGTGTGATTGAGATGTTAAGCAACAGTGAGCTGGTGTGGAGATGAAGATAGTCAGTTGAGGTGGTGGGAAGGACAAGTGATCATGGTAGTAGAAGGTGGAGTGAGTAAAAAGATGGGGAGAAGTGTTGCGGAGGAGAGGAAGGTGAGCGGTAGGAGTTCCAAAAACGTACAAGTAGTTTTCAGGAGATATGTGTTTACTGCAAATTGCTCCGTGACATATGCTGTAGAGGTACTAAGTCTGTAAGCGAGCCCATGCAATATTCTCGTGTAATTTTATTGCATAAATATCGCATATGCAATACAAATGTACATCATGATGTCAGACGCAATTGCCATAAAATGTGAGGATTGATAAAGAAAATTTGACGAGATAATAGTAATTAGTGTGTGTGATGAATAGACGAAGTGGAGTCATGTTTCATAAATCATTCGTGTCGTGTATCCACTCTTCCATGCTATTAGTGAGCCATTTGTCTTGCGATAATCTAGTGTGAGCGAGCGTGCGAGCGAGTGTGACGGTAATAACGGTGGATTCATGCAATCCCCTTCTCACCTCTTTTTTGCTTTGCTCCCCTTCAACCACTCCACACTTGTCTGCCTGGGCCCCCTAACCCCCTCCCTCAATTCTCCATACCTGCACCCACTCCCTTTTACTGCACCCCCCTAAAACACTCCCATCCCACACGGCCGGGCGAAGCAGGGCGAGACGTGGGCCCTACGCTGGGCCTCAAGAAGTCCACGTCGTTGGAGAGCCTGCAAACGGCAGTTGCCACGGCGACGCTCATCAGCGACGGCGACGCGACCGGTGGCCGGGCTGAGGCGGGGGAGGACCAGCAGTCGGCCCATCGCCCCCGGCAACGGCTGATCCGTGGACGTGCCTGCAATGAGAGTTTCCGTGTGGCCATCGACAAGTCATACGGCGACGGAGCTGAGGAGGAGCAGGGCAGCCCAGAGCAGGGAACTGACATCGGTATGGGGAGGTTTTGGATGGAGATGCGTTGCATTCGAGGGATAGAGGTGTTCAGCCATGCGAGAGGGGGGTGGAGGGGCTCGAGGTGAGAAGGCCAAACCAATTGGTTAATGCATTGCATATATAGCCCCTCTGTCAATCTACTGATAGAGGGAGGAAGGTCTCCCCATGCTGTTCGTCATTGGGGTTATTTGAGCATACTTAAATTTTCTCTCTTTTGGATTGAGATGAAGAGAGCCTTGGTGGGACTCAGGATTTGTAAGTCATGGCGGGCACTGAAGGGGGATGGGGTTGAACGTTAAAATGCCAAACTAATCTTGAAATATGACGTCTTTATCAATCCACTGTTGGATGAAGGCCTCCTGATGCTGAGTCAATTATGGATACTGTTTGACCATGTTTCACCATGCTGGTCAGTGCAAGTTGGTTAAGCAATGGTCAGAATGAGTTTGGATATCACTCGCCACTAATGCTAGCCGAAGCCAGGAATAGAATTGCAGTCATAGCATAGTGCGCTAACCACTGCACCACTGCTCCACTGCTCCACTGCCCCTTCCTGGCAATGGGAGTTCTCACCTTGCTTTAAATAATGGATAATTAATTGACCTTTTTACTATCAAAAGGTTCCCTGCTGAATACTTTGTTGGCTTGATGTCATCTATTGCAGAGATTTAAAAAATACTGCAGAGTATGGTAAATCCAAAAAATGCCTGCAGCATCATATTAACCAAATGGTGTGTGTGTGTGTGCACACTCCGCGTATTGAGGAGCCTATCGATCACGTGGGCCCGTGCCCATCAAGGGACCCACAAAAACGCTGTTCGCGGAAGGGTCATGACATTGTTTTATCTAGCCATGGGGGGGGGGGGTGTGAGGCACAGTGGCCAGGAGGGGGGGAGGGGGGTGCCTGGGACGGGGGAGGGAGCGAAGCAGGGTGAATGTTCGCACTGATCGCAGGCTGATTTGTGTGCATGGGAATGCGCTCGCCGCAGAGCGAGCAACGTGCGTTTTGTCGGAGCTAAAGAGCGGGCTATATACAAGCGCGCTCCTCAACTCCCCAGGCCTTTGGGACCCTCGGTCGCTCCAGATTTCCATCTCCCACCAATCGGCAGAATTATATTACATATCTCAGCCAATTTACAATTTAATCATGTGCCTATTTTACGCGTGAATGTTAAAACTACGGATGTAGTTTGCTCGGCATACGTCCACGTTCCCTGGAGTGTCAACAACTTCTGGTCCTCGTCAGCTGTGAAGCTGCCACATCTGTGTGTAATGTGGCCCATCATGGCCAGAATGAAGTATTATCTCGCGGAGATGGCCAGGTTGCCCAGGGGTCAGGGTGGAGCTGGCACTTCTGAGACTTTAGGTTTGAATCCCAGTTTCAGCCACCTTCGAATATACTAGACTCTCAAGTCTAGATAGTTTATGTTCTCATCCTGGTCGCCGATGACTACACTAAATCTTTTCACACAAACTCAGTTTTCTTGAATAAAGTTACATGGGACAAACATGTTTTGCAGGCCATCGAAAGGTGTGATCCAATGGTGGATAAATACATCTGTTGAGATAATTTCAAAAGTAGTTGCATAACTTTCGATTTAAAGGTTTCGTGACTGCAGGGATTCATCTTCTTGGTTCTTTCGGTAAAGTCACATAGAATGGAAATAAAATAATAAAAATAAACATAATAAAATAAAAAAGAAAATAAAAAGAAAATAATAAAATAAAATATATATTTTTATTATGTTTTATTTTTATTATTTTATTTCCAGTCTACGTGACTTTACCGAAAGAACCAAGAAGATACATCTTCTTTGGTTCTTTCGGTAAAGTCAAGCTCTGTCGTCTCGACAGGTTTGTTCATTTCACCTGAAGAAGGCCACTTGTGTTGTGGCCGAAATGTCGTGAGAATTTTATTGTGTTATTTTATTTTATTATTTTATTATTTTATTCTCGTTCTACGTGACTTTACCGAAAGAACCAAAGAAGATGAATCCTTCCAGTCACGAAAGCTTTACATTGAAATTTAACCAAGAAGATAGTTGGCATAACATCACATTCGAGCACAGGGTGATGCATTGCTGCAAGCTGCAGAGTTCCGAATGAATGGCAGTGTGTCTGCCTGACATAATGTGGGCTTTTATCCTGAAATGAAATGTTCTGCACTGCGTAATGCTTACTTCTGGATAATAATAGCTTGTGTATGCTTTTAGGGTTTCATAATAAATTCACTAATGTCAATATGTGGCTGCAAAACTTTTAATGTCACCCAGACCGCCCTGAAATTGGCAAAAATGCAACCCATATTCAGATTATGCATCAAATAATAACTTAAAAGAATAAGTGGAATCTTATAAACGAACGAATGAGTTTAATGAAAAACATAATTCAGTAGATTTTTGTTCCTTCAAGTTATATAACAACTTGAGAATGTATTTAAATAAACTTCCTGATAATGTCAACGTGTCAGGGAGAGACCTTGACACTTTGGCCTTTTAAGTGTTGCATGGCGGTACGGTATAATCGTTATTATTATTATTGGCTGTCACTCTTATCCTTTTGCATCATTACTGTCCTTTGATCTCGAATACATCTTCAGTTGTAGACACGATGAAGCGCTATAGGGCGCGAAGCACTTAAAACCCACGTGCTCATTACTGTCCTTCGTTGTCGCACTTGGGCATCGCCCCTGCTCCCATTCTCCATCTGCCGCTTCGATCATTTTGACCGTTGTCGCAGACGAGGAGGTGGAGGCGAGCGGCCGAGACTCAACGTCGGGCGGCAGCGACAGCCCACAGGGCACCGCGCCCGTGCTGGACGTCCCCGTCGCCGGGGCCACTGCGGCCACCACCAGGGCCCCCGCTGCCAGGGCCCCGAGCCCGCAGGACGCCGGCGCCAGCCCTGCCGCGAGATGCCCTCCCCCAGGCCCTGCGGGCGGCTCGACGGCACGGGACAAGAAGAAGAATAAGGATGGTGACAAGGGTGACAAGGGTGACAAGAGTGACAAGAGTGGGAAGAAGGGAGACAAGAAAGGGGGCGGCGGTGACAGAGGGGATGGAGACGAGAGTGGAAAGGGGCGGCACAAAAAGTCCGGAGTGCTCAAGGGACTCGGCGTCATGTTCCGGTAACTTGCACCATGTGCACACAGTCGCCAGGTTAATTCTTATCATCTGCCACTGCGAATGACAGACTCCGAAAGCCAATTCCATCTCTCGTGGTCCTGTGATGCAACAATCCATCTAGCTCCTGCAGCTGAGCCGATTTAATTGCTTCATCTCTCCACGGTGGATTTCCTCCCGGGTGTTTTTTTCTCCCTTTGGCTACCATTCCATTGTTAGTTCTTGACCACCGGCCATCCGTTGTAGAGACGTCTTGCTCAAGTCAACTTACATTTATTAACAGTCAATGTCATCTGTCTAACCTGAGTTTGTTCTCTGATACATGTCTTCCTCTTTTTGTTTCGTGGTGTAAGTGTAATCCAGTGTAATTCCTTAGCCGAGCAAAACTGCACCTCGACTTGAACACGATGGTGATTGCAGCCTGGTCATAATTTTGCTTCACGCTCTTGCCTGAACATCCTGCAAAGACTGCTCTGTGCAGCATTGAGCTGCGCTTTAATGCGGCAGTCGCGTCACACATCTGTCTGGGATGTGGAATACTTTCACCAGCAGTTGTCCACACGGACCCAAGAGCAGACTTTGTGGCTGGAGTTGCAATCTCTGAGGCACAAAAATCGGGACATATATTCTGGGAAGAAGAATATGTTATGATACTGGAAGAGGGGATTATCTTGATTTGAAGCTTTTGTGACTGCAGGAATCCATACTCTTTGGTTCTTTCGGTGAAGTTACGTAGGTAGAAAAATAAAATAAAAACAAAAATAATATATCACGACGTTTCGATCGCAATACAAGTGGTAGTCCTCAGGCGGAAAAAATATAATGCAGAAGTGGAACTGCTGAACCAGTGAGAGAGCTGTAACAGCTCTGCTGAACCAGTGAGAGAGCTGTTACAGCTCTCTCACTGGTTCAGCAGTTCCACTTCTGCATTATATTTTTTTCCGCCTGAAGAGGGGAGAACTTTATTGGGGCATTATTTCGCAACTGTCAAAAAGACTGGATTTTTTTAATGTCCCCGGGAGACTTTCATATTTCAGAAGACAGTTGCCTCAAAAAGAGGACTATACAGTGACTTGGAAAAAGTGGCCAGGCTTTTGGCCTTTTCCCTCCACTTCATTATGAGACCAGGACTGGACCCTCGTGAACAAACACCTTTTATCAGGGTTCAATTAATCAACAGCAAGAGCAGATGCTCCTGGGAGCATGAGCTTCACGTGGGAGTGGGACATGTTCACCTGGACTAAGGCACGGAATGCTCGTAATTTACACTTGGTGGAGTTCTTATTACTCAGGAGAAATCAACACCTCATTTTTGTGGTTGTGGGACTCGAACCAAGGCCCCTGATTCCCATCTTGATGGAATGGCCACAACCTTAGGAGTTGTTGCCAATTTTCCTCGATCTCGGTGATGGAATTTTTCGCTTGTTTTTGTGTAAAATGTCGAAAGTGCACAATCGGCGAGATAAAAATCTGAGCCCAAGTCCCTGCCATGGTTCTGTGTGCTGCTCTCACAAATAACAGGTGAGCACCGAATACTATCAATCCTGTCTGCGTGGGCGGCCGAGATGTATGTTCAAATGAGGATTTTAAAGGAAAGTGGCGGTTTGTCGGAGAGACTGGGAAAGTCAGTAGATAATAGAGTAGTTGCTGCACAGTCTTTGGGACATTCCATCTACAGGAAAGCCACCCACACGGATTCCTATCTAAAGCCTGACTCTCACCACCATCAGCCCAGAAGAACCCGCTGCATCTCCGACCAGCGTCACCTTGCCAGTGAACTGGAGCACGTACACCGAGCCCTCAAGATGAATGGATACTCAGACCGCACAATCCGCAAAGCTGTATCCCCAACCATGGGGAGACACCCATCTGAGGACCCAATCAAAACCATCACCTTGCCATACATAGCATACTGCCAAGGACAAGAGCAGACTGCAGCGTATCATCCACACTGCTGAGAAGGTAATTGCCTGCAATCTACCGACCCTCGAGGACCTGCACACGACAAGGTCTATGAGGCGAGCGAGGAAGATTATGGCCGATTTCTCCCACCCTGGACACTCTCTGTTTCAGCTACTCCCCTCCGGCAGAAGGCTTCGGTCCATCAGGACCAAAACCTCACGCCATAAAAACAGTTTCTTCCCATCTGCTGCTGGCCTGTTAAACAAGGCCAAGGGCTAACACTGTTTTTAACATTTGATCTACATAACGACACGTTGCTGATATTAACTATGTTTCCCTATTTGTATTTGTATTTTTAAATTATATCTTAAAGCTATTTTATATTCGATATTTATTTAATTTTATATACTTCAGCCCCTTAGTGTTAGACTTTTAACCCTTATTATAGTAAGACTTGTTTAAAACTTATTTAAGATTTTAGATTCCTATATGTTGAATGTATGCACCATCCTGCCAAAGTAAATTCCGTGTCGGTGTGAACTTACATGGCGAATAAAACTCTTTCTGATTCTGAGGTGTTACCAAAAATATTTCCAAAATCTTAAACAAACACAAGATCCAGGTCCGATTCAATTAAGTACACAAAATCCGTGATTTTATCCCATATGTGAAGGATGTCATTCCTGACATGCAGTACCCTGGTGTCTACAAACTAAGTTGTGTCTGCGGCAGCAGTTACATTGAGGAAACGAAATGACATGTCTCGGACCGTGTTCGCAAACACAAGGCAGATTTGAAACACGTAAGAACCAATACCTCTGCCGTGGCTGATCATTGTTATAATGCAGTGGGCTCGCACGATATTGTTTTTTCCGAGACCAAGGTACTCTGCAAACCTTCGGGCTACCATCAAAGATTTGTCCATGAAGCCATCCAGATATATAAACACAGAGACAATTTCAACCGAGAAGATTGGTATAAGCTGAGCAATCATTGGAAAGACGTTATTAACCAAGCAAAGTCGTAACTTGTGTGATGCTTCCATTCTTCCCTGCCATTTGGCTGTTATCCCGACTCTCTGAGTTGCATTGCCCTGTTAGGTGCCTCTGCATTAACGGGCTGGGGTCTCACTAACATGGCCACCTCTGCTCCCTTTGCCTCGATGTATCGATGGTTCTGGCTGTGTGATGGGCTTTGTGTCTCACTGGCTAGACCACTGTTGCGGTGGTTCTCTTGCGTGGACACGCTTGCCTCTCACAGCACAGTTGGCAGCGCCGCAGCTTGTGTTACACATAGACATGACATTAATTTGCTAATCCCCCTAATCTCTCTGCCTAATCTTTCCCATCAACATAGTGCTAATCTCCCATTAACACTGCTGTTGTGCGCATATACAGGGGCGATGCTCTTACACGGCGACGGAAGCTCATTTCATGCTCATCTCTCTCCCTAATCTCCCCCATTAACACAACTGACGTGCTTGCGTGCGGGGGATGGAATTTCTTTCCGGCTCAGACCCCGTCTGCTTGCCCTTCGCCACATATATAAGTTTTGTTGTAACAGCTCTCTCGCTGTGTTTCTTCCTGGTTCAGCAATTCCACTGCTGGATTATTTTTTCTGCCTGAGGACAACCGCTTGTGTTGCGATCGAAACGTCGTGATATGTTATTTTTTATTTTATTTTTCTACCTACGTGACTTTACCGAAAGAACCAAAGAGTATAATTCATAGATAGGAGATTAAAACTATGAAACTAAACTATTAAACAAATGTTTGTATTTTAGCAGGTAAGGGCCACTGAGCAATATCACTCTTTTTCAGAAGTGACCTGGCCACAAATGATAGCTCAGCGAAGTGGCTTGTCACGTGTAAATGCATAGCAGCCAAATACTCTAAACGTATGTTTCTAAATGTGGATTTAAAAACCTGGAGAACCCAGAGAAAAATCTACGCGACCGCAGGGAGAACACGCAAACTCCAAATATACAAGCGCCAGAGTCGGGATCAAACCCACGACCCCCTGTATACCAGATGATGTAGTTAACTTCTCGGTACCACGGTGGTTGAGAGGGGGATGGTAGCTGAAGTGGTCTTCGGGGAGAGCCGAGGCCTATTTATATTCCCAGGATCTCTGATCGCTTCGGTGGAGGGGACGAGGAAAGGGGGGAGGGCCGGGAGACTCTCGACGCTGCAGCAAGTCCGCGCTGGCGCTCACATTAAAGGCCACCGCGGGCCTTTTGAGCAGGAAACTTGTGGCTAACGTCTCTCTTAAGAGACGTTCTGCCGCTCCTGGATAATATGCACTGACCAGGGTGCTGGTGGGATGGGTGCTTGTGGGCGTTACCGAAGGAAATAAACCCGTCTAAGTAGGCGCAATAAAGGCACATGCATCTTTTATTTTCACCCCCACATCTGCAGTGCATTAAAAAAAGGAATATTTTGAAATATTTTGTGCGTGCATGCATGTTTGTAAGGAGTTGGGTTGACCTTATGAGTGTAATGATGCGTGGATTAATTTATTATAATTGAGTCTTTTGATATGAGTATTGAAGTGTGCTTTCGAGAATATGTACACATTGTATAAACTGGGGTTACATGATCTCTGCTGTCACTAAGAGGTAGCTAGATTCAGCACAATATGCATATTTTTAAGAATCTTGAAAAGGATCGTGATCCCTAATCGTGAATCGGTAGAGGGAGGGGAGAGTCATTACAGGCCTAGTTAATTTTGGAACCGCTGATTATTTTGTTTATTAAACTTTCTTCTTCCTCTTCATCCTTATTATTCTTCTAAAGTGCATGTGTGTAGAGGGTGTGCAAAGATGAGAGAGTGAGAGATGGGAGGAGATGCTGTCGGAGTTGCGAGCCCCACAATAATGCGTCTGCGTGTTCTGACCGGTGGCAGTTACGTCGATGATTTATATGGTTCATAGAAAAGTTGCACTTGGGCTGCGAGCCCCCTAAAGCTCCTGAGCAAGCTGTTTGGCAGTCCCTGTGTAATCTCTTGAAAAGATAACACTCAATGTTTCCCTGCTCAAGTCACCCTGTGGTGGTGTTCATCTCCGTTGGTGACCCAAAATCAATGTTGTAAATTCCACATTGCT